TGGGCCTGTGCTGAGTCCCGAGAGGGACAGTCTCCAGTGGCTGCTGGTCCAGCAAGTGGCACTCAGGACTCCATGGGGCTAAGGAGGGAAGCTGTGGGTGGCTTTGCAGAAGGGCCTGGCTCTGTGCCCAGGAGATCTGTGTCCTTCCCCCAGAAGCCTTAGCACCTGCTGCCCTTGTGAAAGTGAGGTCATGGCAGGGACAGGCAGGCCGTGGGTCCACAGACAGACGTGGAGTTGGCTTTCATCTCATTTTAGGGTGACTTGAATGATTCCATTCTACATGGAACCACAGTGGGTCCTAGGCTATGTTGATCGTGGGTGTGGGGGCCAGAGTGGGCCTCACATGGCTCCATCCTGTCTCTCAGTGGGCCAGGAGCATGTGCAGGCCTGCCTGTGCGTCTCTCTTGCCAGAGACCACTCAGGACCTCTCTCCTGGGCATATCGCCCCCCGGCCTCTGGGGCCCTCCTGAACCTGTCCTCAGCTCCTCAGGGCCTTACCGGCCCAAGGCAGGCCATGGCCCTTGCTGTTCGGAGCGGTTTCTTGCTGATCTCAGGGAAGTGAGTCTGTGCTAAGAATTACAGTGGACAGCGTGGGGAGGCTGCGGGCGCAGGGTATGTATCAGAGTCCACAGCACCTTCCCGGGAGTCTTGAGCCCTCTAATTCATGAGCCACCTGGCCCACGCTGCCACCCTCGCCCGGCAAAGGTCAGTACCATTCCTTCCAGGCCAGCCTCATCCTGAAAGTGCAGTCACAGGGACACTGATCTCCTCTGTCACTTTACCCTTGACGCTCCTGTGACCAGGTGCCAACCAGTAACCTAACCTCCGCTCTGCACACATTTCCAGATCCTGCTTAGTTTCAGCCTCTGGAAACCAAGGTCAGTGGCTTGTAAAGCAGGAGCTATGGGGCTGGGGCAGCGGCACATCGCTGTCATCCAGGACTAAGTGGGGAATCCCTCCATGTCCCCAGAGCTGCACTGGAAAACAGGGAAACAGGAACTAAAGGCCTCATTTAAGAATTGTCCTTGTTGGGGGGCACCTGGGTGGCTCAGTTGATCAAGTGTCTGACGCTTGGTTTCAGCTCAGGTCATGATCTCACAGTTTGTGGTATCAAGCCCCGCATCTGGCTCCAATGCTGACAGCACACAACTTGTTTGGGATCCCCTCTTCCTCTCTGCCCCTTCCCCATTCACTCACTCTGTCTCTCAAATAAACTTAACAACAAAAAAGAATTGTCCTTCTTGTGTGATGTGCTTTGGCTCACAGAGGGCACCTCTGCTCCCATTGTGGGGTGGAGCCTGAGCTGCGATGGCCTGGCTGCCCCGTCTCTGTGCCCTCACACCTGTGTGCCACTTGGGGTCAGCGCCTCGTTGACTGGCCAGCTGCGGCGTGGGCGGCTGGGTCTCTAGTTTTGAGAACCAGCACTGGCGATACCTTTTCATCCACAGAATCCAGGGGGTGAGAGGGCCATACAGTGTGAAGTCCTCTGGGCCCTCAGTTGGACAGGCTTTCAGGCACTTGTTTTTTCAGTTTGTATCTGTAAGACCAGACTGGGAGACTGAGAGGAGTGTCCTGGGTTTCCGGGGCTACATGTTGACTTCACTGAGCTCCCAGGACCCCAGGCCTCCCACTCTTGGGAACTGCAAACCGGCGGGGGCAGGGTCTGGCGGCCCCTTCCCTAGCCTCTGGTGATCTGTGCTCCAGCCAGGGTGTGATCTCAAATTACACATTTGCATTTGTAGCTTAATTTGAGCAGTGTGCATTTTTATTGAAAAACTGTTTTGCTTTTGGACGTGTGGGATTTTTTTTTTTTTAAGATCATAGCAGTCTTACAGTTATTATTACACCTCAAATGATGCAGTTTTGTGGCATGCACATTGGTTTTATATTGGGAGGTGATGGGGAGTAGAGACTGAATAACAGAAAAGTTCATGATCTGTTTTTCAGAAACCTATTTCCAGACCAAAGGGGCCCATCCCCCGTCTCTGCCACAGGTCAAAGTTCCAAAGGCAGCTGGAGGATGGTTCGGATGGAGAGGAGAGGGGAGACAGGGGAGCAGCAGAGCCCTGCTGTGCTAAGAAGGTGCAGAGACAGGTGGTGGTAGTCTCTGGCCGGAGTGGAAGCGTCCGTGTGCACACTCCAGGCATCCGAGTGGCTGGCAGCTGTGGCTCCTATAGGAACAGGTCCGCTCAGAGTTGGGTGGGCACCAAGGGAGGGCTTTGCCCTGTGTGGCGGGCTCATGCCATCATTATGATGGTGGAATTCCGGAAGCAGAATCTTGTGCTCTAGGAAACCATGGAATTAGATCTGGTGATGATGGTGAAAAGGCCGGCCACGCTTGTGTCTTCAGAGGTGGCCTAAGGGCGCATGTGGCCCCGGGACATGGCAGTGTCTGGAGGACCCAGGCTGGTTCCTCTCTCCTAGCACCCAAGAAGACAGTGGTGCCACCTCAGAGGCATCCCAGATGGTTGTAGGATAGGAGTTTACGGCAGGTGCTGGACCATATTCAGAGACTCTGTGTAATAGTTTTCTGCGGATGCAAGTCAAGCCTCTTAAGGAAAGGTGCCTTTTACTGCCATCGGGAAGGCGCTGGGTGGGCTGATAGGGATCCCCAGGCCCAGCACACACATTCCAGTCCTGCCTGGAAGCAGAAATCATGGGATCCCTTTTAGAGTCTCTGTGGCTTCCCTTTCTTGACTGTGCAGTATTGAAATTCACTTGCAGGCAGGGTTGGGTGGTGGGAGAGTCGTGCCAGGGTCTTAGCTCCACTCTACCTCTTCTATGCCACGTGACCTTGGTTAAGTCCCATCTTTTCTTGGTTTCCATGTCTTCAAAGGATTATTATAATTTGCAACTTAAAAGAACAGGTCATAATATGTAAACACTTGGGAAATGTTCTGCTTCATAGTGGTCAAAGAAGTAAATAACCCAGTGTCATTTTTAACATTACAAATTGGGCAATTAACAGTAGTATCCAAAGTTTGTACTGTAAATTATCATCATCTTTCCCAAAAAGCACAATATGGCCATTACCCTATGACCTAAGAATTTCACTTCTGGCAGGTTAGACTGAAGGAAATAACCCAAAAAAGGAAAAAACATTAGCCAAACGTTTTCTCTGGTTGTTTGCTTTGTTTTTCTGAAAGTAACAAGAAGCCTTGCAGATGCTTTAATAAGGGTTGGTCAAGTAAACCATGAAGGGACCATCTTAGGGAATATTAAAATTGTTGGTCATGGTGTCTTGTAAGATGGAGAAAATACATGTGACGTGTTAAAACTGTCACACCAGCAACTATATAAAAACATAGGTGACTGTACATACAGACTGGCAGGTAATGTAGAGAGACTGGCTGCATGAGATAAGCTCTCTAGAACTGTGAGATCATGACTTGAGCCTAAATCCAGAGTCAGATGCTTAACCAACTGAGCTACCCAGGTGACCCAATTCACTGGTTTTTAATATATTTTGCAACCATCATTACTACCAGTAATGACTTCCAAAAGGAAACTCCATGTTCATCAGTCTCTGTCCACCTCCACGTCCTGAGCCCTGACAACCATGAATACAGTTCTTGTTTCTGGATTGGTCCGTTCTGGACTTCTCATATAAGGAATCCCACCATGTGTAATGGTGTGTATCTGGTCTCTTTCACTGAGCATCCTGTTTCCCAGGCCCATCCAGGCTGTAGCATTCCCCTGTGAGTGCACATCAGCACGTCTACAGTTCAGCTATCCGTGTTTCAGTGGTTGGGTGCTCTCAGTTGTGTATACTTTTTGGCTACTATGAATAATGCTGCTGTGAACATTTGTGTACAAGTTTCTGTGTGATTTCCCATTCTCTTGAATATACACACCTGGGAGGGGAATCACCTGGGTCCGGTGGTAACTGTTACTAGCAACCAGACGGTGTAAAGCGGCTGTGTTTTTGTGTGCCCCCCGCGCCCGGCAGTGTGTGGGGATTCCAGTTTCTCTACATTAATACTTGTTAATTTCTCGTAGTAACAATGGTACCTCACTGTAGTTTACAATTCCTTTTGGCTAACAGCGTTTGGTTTCTCACGTGCTTATTGAGCATTTGTTTTTATCTTTGGAGAAATGTGTATTCAGATCCTTTGCCGTTTTTTAATTGGGTTGTCTTTTTGTTAATGAGTTAGAGTTCTTTATATAGATATTCTAAATACAAGTTCTCTAGCAGGTAGAGGATATGTAAAAATCCCCTGTGCCCTGTGCTGTCTCTCCACTTTTTTTTTTATTTAATTTTTTAATGTTTTATTTATTTCTAGGAGAGAGAGAGGGAGAGACAGCGTGAGCAGGGGAGGGTCAGAGAGAGGGAGACACAGACTCTGAAACGGGCTCCAGGCTCTGAGCTGGCAGTCAACACAGAGCCCGACGCGGGGCTCGAACCCACGAACCGCGAGATCATGACCTAAGCGAAAGTCGGACGCTTAACCGACTAAGCCACCCAGGCGCCCCTCTCCACTTTTTTGGTGGTGCCCTTTGAAGTCCCAAGTTTTTAATGTTACTGACATTGATTTTATCTCTTTTCCTTTTGTTGCTTGGATTTGGTATCTCAGGCCCTGCCACTGATGTGTGAGATTTAATCAGCTTCCTGACTCCAGGCTCCCTCTGCCCCGGCAGTGTTGTCTGGGGCCCTTCATCCGCAAGTGGCTCTGGACTTCACTGGCGGGGCTTAGGATGGAGCTGTTTTTACTGCATGTCTCTTTGTCCTGTTTAGAGTTAGTTCCTATTATTTTTATTTCACTTAAAAAAAAAAATTGAGCCCCATTCCCAAAATGCTACTAATTTCTAGCCTTCTATGCTGGGCACAGTGAAAAGGATGGGCCTTGCTGAAGGAGACAGGATGCGGTCCCAGGGCAGGAAGGCCCTAGGTTTCCCGTTTCTCCCCAGGGGCCAGCAGCCAGGTGTTCAGGAAGCCCTGGGAGGTAAAGAAATGAGGGAAATGTTTCACTCTGCACTTTCCTTCCCACCCTGTTCTCAAGAAACACGAGGGCCTCCGCCTGGCGTGCACAGCGGCTGTGAGAGCTGGGGAGTAGGGAGGCTCCTGTTCCCATTTCTTCGTGCAGTGGGTGCAGGTCTGTGGGGGCCAGTCTGCACCTGGTGGGGAGGGGACTTGGGATGGCAGCTGAGAGGAAGGGGAGCTGAGGCGGTGGGCAGGTGGGAGGGTGCTGTGCTGGGATGGGGGGCCGAACCAGCCGAACTGGGGAGGGAGTGTGGCTGAGGCTCTGCCTGCCTGTTCTCCCCCTGAACAGCTCCCCAGAGCCCTGCGTGTGTGCGCCTCTGGCAGTGGAAGGAGCCTGTCCTGCTTCCCCTTCTGAGTACCTGGGACTCGAGGTAACAAGCCTTCCAGATCCTCTCCCACAAGCAAGCCACAGTGCTCTGGCACGGAGGCAGCCTGCTCCCCTGGGGGAGGGAGGGAGGGTCTGCCTCACCGGGTTCTGGCCTGGATGCAGGGGGCATGGGTGATGGCGCAGGATGGTGGCTTTGGGGCTAGCATATCCTTGGCAATGGTGGGGCATCTCCCGGGCTTAGAGGGAGCCCAGTGACTCCAAATCCCTCTCTTGAAGGAATTGGTCCTAGTCCACAAGTCCTGTTCCCACTCAGAGCACAGAGATTTATGTGGAGAAGTAAAAGTAACTTCAGCTGCAAGGGCAAGCAGGCCTGTGGGAGCAGTCACGGGAGGCTGTGTGCTTGGGCTCTGAGGTCGGTCACAGGCTGGTGCCCGACTGGCATGCAGAGGCTGGGAATTTAGTTCACATCCGGCTTTTTACTCCATGTCCAGGAGAAGCAGCAGAGATGCCCAATGAGCCGCCCCCTCCTTATCCTGGAAGCCCCACGGCCCCCCTTCTGGAGGAGAAGAGCGGAGCCCCGCCTACCCCAGGTAGGGCTCCGCGCTCCGGATGGTCTGGGCTCCTAAAGGCTGGTGCTGGACTCTGCAGCCGCTGCCCTCTGAACTTCCTCTCCCTGCCCTTCTCTGTCCAGGCCGTACCTCCCCAGCTGTGATGCAGCCCCCACCAGGCATGTCAGTGCCCCCAGCAGACATTGGTCCTCCACCCTATGAGCCACCAGGTCACCCGATGCCTCAGCCCGGCTTCATTCCCCCGCACATGAATGCAGACGGCACCTACATGCCTCCGGGTAAGGATGACTGGGGGGCACGGGGTCTGCCCTGGCTGTGCACCCAGTGTGTTATCTGGGCTGCCGTCCAGCCTTTGGTGCAGTGTGTTCTCTAGTGAGAGGGGGGCTGCCCCTGGGTGCGGGCGGGGGGGTGGTAGAGACACACGTGTCCTAGAGCAAGGCGCGGCTATGGAGGTACTGTGGGCAAGCAGCGTGAGCCCTGGGCCCTGCTCGGGGGGATGGGTAGGGCTAGCTCCTGGGAAGGCCCCTCAGGCGCAGTGAGAGGTACCGACTCGTGGGTGCTGCAGGGGCCTCTCCCTGACAAGGTCTGGAGTCCATAGTGGAGGCCTGAGCTCCTGCTCACCCAGCAGTTCTCCAGAAGGACTTCTCAGGCCAGAGAAAGTCCCAGGGCTCTTGCACAGGCGGCCCCAGGTTAGGGGGGTCCGGTCCCAAGTATTTCATGCAGGATCTGCTGCTGGTGGGAAGGAGAGCCCTGTGTGCAGGAGAGGGGCTGGGCTGGTGTGCGGCAAGGCTTTCCCTCCTGCGAGCGAGGCACAGCGCCCGGTCCTCTGTGTGCCAGAAGCAGGGAGCAAACACATGAGGCGGAGACCGAGGACATCAGGCCTCCTCCCAGCTCTGCCATGTCTGACTGGACCAAGTAGCTGCTCTGTCCTGGTGCTCACAGGCTCGGGACCAGGAAGGGCTGGGAGAATGTGGTGGTCACCTTGGCCCAGGGCCTGGTCCCTGAGGCCTCATTTTGTGTCCTGGGGACCTTGGGGCTTTGTGCTTACCTCTCACGTGGGGCAGGTGGCAAGCCAGTGACGTCTTTGTTGTTTTCTGTGCTGTTCCAGGTTTCTACCCTCCTCCAGGCCCCCACCCACCCATGGGCTACTATCCACCAGGGCCCTATCCACCGGGGCCCTACCCTGGCCCAGGGGGCCACACTGCTACAGTCCTAGTTCCTTCCGGGGCCGCCACCACGGTGACGGTGCTGCAGGGAGAGATCTTTGAAGGTGCGCCTGTACAGACAGTGTGTCCCCACTGCCAGCAGGCCATCACCACCAAGATCTCCTATGAGATTGGCCTGATGAACTTTGTGCTGGGCTTCTTCTGCTGCTTCATGGGGTAGGTCATGTGGGTGCTTGGTGGGGGAGGGGCTGGAGTAGGTCTGGGTGCCCTGAGTGACTTGTCCTCCAACCTCTCCGCCTTCCCGGTCTCTGATTCAGGTGTGATCTGGGCTGCTGCTTGATCCCTTGCCTCATCAACGATTTCAAGGACGTGACGCACACATGCCCCAGCTGCAAAGCCTACATCTACACGTACAAGCGCCTGTGCTAACGGAGCCGGGACTGGACTCCCTGCTGTCAGTCTGGCTCCCTGTGCTTTTATTCCCCTTGCTCAGTGGCTCGCTTCCCTGCTCCCACTTGGGGATGGAAGCCGTTCCAACCGGTCCCCTGGAAGTCCTGTCCTTTTCGGCTTGCCCTTCCCTGAGCATCTGACTCTTTGGCAAAAATTCTGTTGGATTTAAGGCCAAGAGTCAGCGAGTGGCAGGGGGATGGCACTGAGCCGTGTTTTGCTTGGTGTTTGTGACGAGGAAGATAAACTGGGAAGGGTTTCCTCGCACGGTCTCCCTGCTGGGGTCTCATTCCTCCATTTCTGTACAAAGTATGGATTTGGTCCTGACTCTCCCTGGGACCAAAAGCAGCCAGAGCAGAACTGGGGCCAGCACTGGGGCTATAACTGTAGCCACAATTATTTCTCATCTGCTGGGCCACGAGTGGGGGAGTGGACTCAAGCAGGACAGGGTCATAAAGCCTGGCTCTGTTTCTGGGGTGCCAGAGGTGGTCACGAGAATTAGACGGAATGACTCTGGCCCTCAGAACTCTTACCATCTTGTCCAAATGCCCAGGAGTCACCTGGGGTAAGGTAGGGAGGTCAGCACACCTGCAGGTCACTTACAGGGTAAATGGTTAGGCCCTGGCTTGCCAAGAAGGGACTTGCCTCTGGCCCCTCCCCAGCTCCCTTTCTGGCTACCCCTCCACACACCCTTGTCTTTGCTAAGGCCAGAAGGAATGCCCTGGAGCCTAGCCCATCTGCCTATCCCATGTCCTTGCTGTGTGTGGGCAAGACCTTTGCCCAGTAGCTGGTACAGCCCAGCCAGGACTGGAGAGGACGGGGGCCTCCTTGCAAGCACACTCCGATCTGCAGTGGTTCTCCACGGATCCTCTTCCCAGTGAATGCTGGGCCTTGTCCTGGCTGACTCGCTGTCACTGTGCTTGTTTTAACAGCAGGTACTACGGCAGGAGCAGCTGTGGCACTGGATGGGGACAGGCTGGGGACGAGGAAGGAGCAGCCACATGTGGCGAAAGTGCCCTGGTGGACACCTGCCCTGGGCCTGAGCCCACACTGTATTTCCTGGTTTGTCTTGTAAACTTGCTCACGTGGACCGCTGTACCCACCGCCCCTCTCCTCGTCTCGCACTGCCACTGCATGGCCTCCCGTCACTGTGAATCATGGCTGCTCTCAGTCTGTAGTTTCTCATTAAATTGGCCCTTTAACTCCCCTGCCCTGGGCATCTGCTCTCTCGCCTGGCTTCCTTCTTCAAGGGAAAGAGGGTGGGGCTAGAAGTGGTCAAAGGGCAGGGGCTTGAGTCCTCAGGGTCTTAGTGCTTATAGTTAATTGACTGCCCAGAGAGGACACTGAGCCACACCAGAATGCAGTGTGGACGTGGGATTCTAGCTGTGACCAGGCTGGGGTAGGACTCCACTTCACTGCACTGTAGGGTCACCTTACTGTCTGATCCTGATCTCACCCGTCTCCACACTGTGGCATCTGCCCGCACAGTCTGCAGGCTAGAGTCCTGTGGCTTGGGCTCAGGGTCATCCCACTTTGCAGGCAAACGCCCTTGCTCCCTGAAGCAAGACAGAGCAAGCCACTGGTGCCGAGGCTTCGGTATGAAGGCTAATGGGAAGCAGGCAATCTGCCCCCAGGTTTTGAGCCAGCTCCTTCCCTACCCATCAGCTGTGAAAGTGGGTTGGTCAGTAGTTGAAGACAAAGTTTTCCCACCATTTAATCCTTTTTTGAATAAAACTTTTACAGATCCTGAATATATAAAACAGGAAACAGATTCCTATCAATAAAAATATTTAAGTTCACATTTGTATTTTAGACCATGAATTGTTATATAATGCTTTTTATACTATTTATAAACAAATTATCTCAAACTATAGGAAACCTCCAAAGCACTTCCGAGAGAAAATCACAAGAGCAGATGATAGATTTGTGAGACACAGTGACTTTGCTCGGGCAAAGGGCTGTAAGGTGACCAGGAGTGGTGGGAGCACAAGGCCGAGAGTGGCTGAGAAGGATAATGTTCGCGCCAGGAAAGGAGGAGGCAGCGGTCAGAGTCCACTTTATTGAGTGCTGTAGCGTTTACACAGGTCAGAGGAGGAGACAGGCCACAGCTAAACAGATGCCCTCTCCGGGGTTTCTGCTTGAGCCGTATGACGACTGACTGTTCAGGACAGAGCTCCCAGGGCCACTGAGGGAGCCCCCTCCCTTCCACAGAGCCACAGCAGCCTGGGTTTGCTGGTTGCTCTGTTCCCACCAGGGGAAAAACACCCACCTAAATGCCAGCACAGGAATAATGAAAGGAAGGAGCCTCAGGGTGAGCAGTGTGGACGCCTCGGGAGCAGAGCAGGTTTCAGAGACTCAGCCTGGCCTGCTGAGCTGCACTGGCTGCTCCCAGTGCCACAGCCCGATGGCTGCAGGAATGGAGGGCCTGCACCCAGCTCGGCATCTAGCCCACACAGAAGACGCTATAGGCAGAGGCTTTAGCGTCTGGCTTTTATTGGTTGCTTGTTTTCTCAAACACAGCATTTAAAAAAAAGTCACCTGAGGTGGTAGTTTAGTCACAGGTGGAGGTGGGGGCGGGCCAGTGGTCACTCAGGAGGATGGCGCCAACGTGGAATGATGGGTCCTTCACATGTAGTACCAGGCCAAGAGGCCAGCAACGAGGGCCACACCAGTGGCCAGAATGAGCTGGAGGCTGGGCTTACTCAGCACAGCCAGGGCTGTTCGGAAGGGGCAGCTGCTGCCCTCCAGGGCACCTGTGTGGTGGCACCAACAAGGGACAGGGCATCAGTGGGGAACGCTGACACACCCACCCTGGAGGAGAGTTCCGAACAGGCAAGACCTACCTCCGTCTTGTTTAGCAGTGTAGTAGGGACATTTACGCACATCTCCTTTTCCATCGTGCACGGGGAGCCCATCCTCCAGGGTCTCTTTGGCCAACAAGGAGCCAGCCTGGTCCAGTTCATCGAAGATCTGCAGGAGCCGGGATAAACAGCTTTCAGTGGACTCCAAAGCGCAAACCAGTCAAGAAGCAGCCCTAATCCAAAGCGGGGGCAGCCACACGGACACAACACTGCTCCCTGGCACAAGCTCAGAGGTGTGGCCACACCTGCACTGCTGACTGTGGGGGCTCCTCCCTGGGCACTGACCACACAGCCCACGGCTAGAACTTCCGGAGCAGAAACGCTGAGCAGAGAAGAAAAGCGCTGCCCCTAAAATACTCTGTGAACACTGCTCCTTCCCCATTTGTAGTTGCGAGGTATTTTTTAGCAAGAACGACAGAGAAGGAGAGGAATGTGGGAGAACTGAGGCCCCAATAGGGCTGACCCATGCTGAGAGGCCTGTGGAGACTACTGATATGGGACTGATCTGATGGGCCTGCATCGGGGCTGGTGCTTCCCTCCCTGGCCATGGCCACCCTCCTGGTGCTGAGGGCTGGGCTGGGCTCCAGGACAGAATCCACCTCCCCAGGCTTAGCCCCATCTGAAGACTACTTGTCAGCTGAATTCTCTCTCTGTGTGTTTCTCTCCCTGAATTGATCAAGTGGGGCAGCCCTTGCTAAAAAGGAGGAAATCCACTCAAGACCAGAATCCTGTGATGACAGGGAGGGACCTCCCTCTATGTGCTAGGGCCTTACCCTCCCTGGAACAAAAACACACAAGCTGGCCATCAAAGCAAAGCCATCACTTGGCTCATGCCCTCTGCGGTCTATTTGGTCCTTCAATTTTCTCCCTGGAAGGCTGCCCCTTATCTGGCCTAAAACACTGATGCCTGTTAAGGGAGCTCTGGATCAGCCCCCACCGTCAGAGGCACCCTTCCTGCCCGATCCCAGCAGTACCTGCATGTTGTATTCAAAGGCCTTGTTGGCCTCTTCCACGATCTTCTCTTTGGTCTTCAGGTTCAGGTCCAAGGCATTCATCCTGGCCCGGTAGAACTGCTTGAACTGTTGTGCATTGTCCACATTCTCAAACTTATAGAACTGGGTCCCTTCTCCCGTGCTGGGCAGTTTCAGGGCCCGCTGGGCCACCTTCTTCAGCACCTGGCCCCCTGAGAGGTCCCCCATGTAGCGGGTGTAGGCATGGGCCACCAGCAGCTCTGGCTCATTCTGCCCCACATAGTGGATCCGCTCCACGTACTTTTGGGCAGCCTCGGAGCACTGCACCTGCTCCTCCCAGTTCTCTCCAAAGAAATACTCCATGTCCTTGGTCAGTGCCTCCTTCCGGTGCAGCTCCGTGGGGAAGTACAAGGGGGCAAAGGCTGGGTGGTCCTTGTTGCGTTCCATCTCCTCCTCCAGGGCTGAATATGTGAAGTAAAGTGCAGTAGTGGCCAGCTGTTGAGGGGGACGGGGGAGACCATGGGAAGGGCTGCAGGCCTTAACCAGCAAGCACCTCTCCTGAGCCCACTGCCCCCGTGTCTGGGCGGCCAGAGATGAAGCCTCCAGCGGCATGCCCCCTCCAATTCCCAGAAGCCCATTTTTATGCTGTGAATTATTTTACACACCTAGGAAACTTTTTATGTTTCTTAAAGGAATGACATGGTGAATTCTTTGGAATGTGGATACTTTTGCTTCACACCATCACTATGTTATTCTAGTTAAGCTACCTGAAAACCATAAGCTGATGTCAAAAGAATGGAGGGTGGGTAGAAAAAGGCCCAGCTTCCACCTCAGAACTGCTCCAAGAGGATCTTCCTCAAGACTTCCCAAGACTAAGGCCCCCAGCCTGACCCTATCCATGACCAAGGGCACAAACCTTAAACAGCTCCTTCCTGATGTTGCCTTTCAAGAAATCCTTGACAAACTGGGTATTTTCTGCCCGGTCATGTGCTTCCTTGGTCCCTTCCTTCAGGAGCTCGGAGAGGTCAGCCATGCTGTGGAGACAGAGGGTGTGTGTGCGTGCGCATGTGCACGTGTGAATGACCCCTTCCCAATTACAGGGTGTCCCCTTGATGAGATGGAGGCAGGAGCTTCTGAGAACTCCACTCCAGCAAAGATACAGGATCTTGCCCCAGAGCATGGGGCAGGGAGATGTGAGTCAGCTCCCAGGACTTGGGTGACATGGAATGACTGTGTCCTACTTCCTAACAGTGTCCATTGTCTCTGTAAACCACCTGAATGAATAATGCTTTGCCTCTGTGGCCACCTAGTGCCTGATAAAAAGCACATCTAACCCACCATAGTGTTTGCTGGTTTCTGCAGGAAACAGCCAGCCTTTGGGAACGTGTCTCACGGAAGCCACACTGCTGTGATGGGCTGACTGTGGATGTCCCGGTGCAGTGTTGTTGCCTTCCTCCCACTGGGACCCACAGCCTCTTCAGGACTACATGTGGCTGGGCCCAGGGACAGGAGGAGAACGAGACAAAGGGTGAGGAAGTTGGAGCCAGTACCTCGTTTGTACCACTTAACAAAATTATACAGGATGGAGCGGTGCTGACGGGCACCACAGCCAGCAACCAGCAAGGCAAAGAATGCATGACCCTGAAGATGGAGGCACCAGGCAGCAGCTTGTGTGGGCTACACAATCCATCCATCAGAGAAACAAAAACACGGCCCTGTTCGGCCCATCCTCTGCTAGCTTCTTTAGGAGATTAGCTCCTGTCACCTACATGCTGAGAGTCATTTCTTACTAGCAATTATTTCAAGATACAAAAAAGCACTTTGTCAGTGACAGGGCTACAGTAAGGTAAGAACCATGAAGAACAGGCTCTGGTAACTCATTAACTGTCTCTACCCAGTAAGAAAAACCCCTGGAGTTAGAGCTGCTCCCACATTCTAAGGGGTGAAAAACACTGGAAAAGGTGCCAGTTTTGCCTGATTACCCTTTTCACCACAGAAGAAAAAAGGATCAGGGAAACCATCAAACTCTATCCCTCAGCACTCCTAGCAGTGCCTGTCCTGCTTTCCCTGGGAACAAATGGGAAGAGTGCTGAGCGGCCCAGGGTGCTGCCTGCCCCTTCTCTCTGCAATCCCGACCAGGGGTCCTGGGGGCCACAGCAGCAGCACTCCCCACACCCGGTGCCTGCCACATGCAAGGCCCTGGGCACATGACTCCACACAGCCGGCCCCCATCACTCACCTGGTGTGGTTTTCTTTTTCTGAGGCCCCGAAGTTCTTTTTCTCCGACTCGTCCACCCCCTCTGAGGTCTCCAGTTCCACTGACATGGTTGCCGAGTGTGACTCTTGCTGCTCTCACTCTCCCGGTCCTGTAGAGACACAAGGAGCTGCTGACGGGGTGCCCACAGCAGTCATTCCCCCAAACACTTACTGGTTCCGCTCTCCTCTGAGCCAACAGAATGGAGGAGTCAACTACGTGCTTCAGAAGTGTTTTCTTTCAAAATAAAGCTCTGCCATTATGGGGACCATTATTTGAATATGGACAAAATTTGATTATGGACAGTAGATTAGGTAATAGCACTGAATCAATACTAAACTTGCTATTTTTTATAATTGTACTGTGGATGTATAAAAGAAAGTCTTTGTTTTAGGAAATAATCCTGAAGTATTCAAAAGTAAAGGCCACACTGCCTGCAACTGTAAAAATGGTTCAGAGAGTGTGTGTGTGAGGGCGCGCATGTGTGCATACACTTATTAGGGAGAGGGAGGGAGGACATGCTCAAGTAAAAGCAAATGAAGCAAAATACTGGCTGTGAATTTGGATAAAAGGTACACGAGTTCTGTGTACCATTCTTGCAGCTTTTCTGTATGTTTGAAATTATATCAAAATTAAAAGTTACCTAAAACACAAAATAACAAATAACATCATAGATAAAGCTTAAAACAAAAACAAAAAGCAGCAGTGCAGTGAGCAGCTTGCGTCTGGAGCCAAGCGGTCCCACTGTCGCAGGCAGGGCGGCCTTGTGCACAGAGCTGTGGGGCAGGGCAATTAACTGAAACAGTAAGCCAGGCAGCTTGACGATGCTAAGAGCAGCTGGAAAGGCACTTGACAAGCTGTATCAGATATAGTCACCAAGCAAGTGCACTGTCCCCAGCCTGCTCTGGACTTCGCGGGGCCAACGGAAGAAATATAAACCAGCTGCTCTGCCTTTGTGGCTGCCAGGGCTGAACCTTCCTAAGCCAGGGAAATAGGGTCCTACCACAAGACAAGCTAACCCTCCATGCCTGGAGGCCTCTGCTCTGGAGTGCAAAGGGGTAATCCATCTGCAGAACTTTCCAGATGAACAGCAGGACAGTTCCATCAGTTACTAATGTAACTCACAAAACCAGAACTACCAAATCAAGCGAAGGAAAGAAGAGGCCTTTATTTTCCTACCTCAGTCAGTATCTATTTACTGAGCATCTTCTACATGCTCCACCCAGAAATAGGTGTCAAGGGGGACAAAAAAGTGTAAGTAATGATCCTTTTAAGATATAAAGAAGAAAATAAAAATCAACCTCTATCTCACTCCACAGATATACCCACTGTTAATGTTAGTATGTATCCTTAGTTTTCTCTAGACATGTAATTATATCTTTATCTTTTGGGATATTATAATACATGGTTTGCTTAGCATGCTCTTTCTGAACCTTTAGATTTAGTATTTATACAATGGGATTAAAGACAGGATTAATGATAGGAAGGATTAAGTGGGAATAGGGAAGGTAAGGCTTTTAGCACAGTGCTTACCACATGGTAAACACTCACTAAACAGTAGATATAAACTTCATATTTTGATTGAGGCTTAACTGCTATTGTTCTAGAATGCTTGGAAAATAATTAGCAGAAAGTGAAATAAGCCAAAGATATGTAGGGTATTATTTATATGTGGAATCTTAAAAAAGAGGTTTCAAGAGGCACCTGGGTGGCTTAGTCAGTTAAGCATCCGACTTCAGCTCAGGTCATGATCTCACAGTTCGTGGGTTCGAGCCCTGCATGGGGCTCTGTGCTGACAACTAGCTCAGAGCCTGGAGCCTGTTTCAGATTCTGTATCTCCCTCTTTTTCTGACCCTCCCCTCATCACACTGTCTCTCTCTCTCTCAGAAATAAATAAAACATTTAAAAGATTTTTTAAAAAGAGGTTTCATAAAAGGTTTTGTAAGTCATAAAAACAGAGGGTAGAATGGTGGTTGCCAGGGGCTGGGGGTGGGAGCAATGGAGAGATGTTGGTAAAAGGGTACAAATTTTCAGTTATAAGATGAATAAGGCCTGAGGATCTAATGAACAGCATGGTAACTAGAGTTAATAATACTTTATTGCATAATTAAAATTTGCTAAGAAACGTAGCTTTTAAGCGTTGTAACAAAAAATATTTGAGGTGATGGATGTTCATTCAATTATGGTAATCCACAATTATAAATCATCACATTTTAAATATATTATTATATAAACATATATAATAACAATATAATATTAAATGTATATTTATTATATATTATGTTATTTATTATTATATATTTAATATTAATATTAAATATATAAAAATATATTATTTAAATATATATTATATAAACATATTATTACACACTTTAAATATATTATAATTTAAATTACATTTTTTAATTTATTTTTTATTATTTATTTATTTTTAAATATTTTTATTTATTTCTAGGAGAGAGAGAGAGAGAGAGAGACAGCGTGAGCAGGGGAGGGTCAGAGACAGAGGGAGATACAGACTCCGAAACAAGCTCCAGGCTCTGAGCTGGCAGTCAGCACAGAGCCCGAGGCGGGGCTTGAACCCACGAACCACGAGATCATGACCTAAGCCAAAGTTGGACGCTTAACCGACTAAGCCACCCAGGCGCCCCTAAATTACATTTTTTTAATGTGTATTTAATTTTGAGAGAGAGAAAAAGAGCATGAGCAGGGGAGGGGCAGAGAGAGGGAGATAGAATCTGAAGCTTGCTCCAGGCTCTGAGCTGTCAGCACAGAGCAGGATGCAGGGCTCAAACTCAGGAACTGTGAAATTATAACCTGACCAAAGTTGGATGCTTAACCTACTGAGCCACCACCCAGGGACCCTCAACAAAAAAATTTTTTAACATTTATTTATTTTTCAAAGAGAGAGACAGAACGTCAGCAGGGGAGAGGCAGAATGAGATGGAGACACAGAATCCAAATCCATAGAAACACACAGGGCTTGAACCCATGAACCACAAGATCATGACCTGAGCCGAAGTCGGATGCTTAACCAACTGAGCCACCTAGGCACCCTGAAATATAATTTTACTTATCAACTATACCTCAATAAAGCTGGGGGGGAAAAAACCCAGAATATATAGAAAATAGGACCTTCTCTTGACTCCAAATCAGATATACTTTCATCTCTTATAATGCTGATGAACTGCAGGTTCACCAATATTCAGTCCAGGATGTGAAGGTAGGTGGTCATCACATGGAGAGAAGGGGGGGCTTACCCAGCTCCCTCAAAATTTAGAGTGGAGGACAGGAAGGGCCTCTGGATCAAAGCACAATGTAAACAAAGTAAAATGGGACAGACCACAGAGATGGCGTAAGGGTGCCCAGCTACACATCTGGTGTCCTTTTACCAAGGAGCCAAGGCAGACTTTGTTGGCTGCAGAATAAGCCTCACACTAGCTTGTCCATGCTGACCTCCTTTTACAGACTTAAGAAAGAACATCTGAGCTCATCTTCAGGAGCCTCAGAGCCAAGATTTATCCCAGGCCAGTCGGCCCTCAGGCTGTAAGAAAAGGTACTGGATGGACCACCCAGTAGAGGAAACAGGGGAGAGTAAGTAGAGCCCCTAGACAGGTGGCAGGCCCACGCGGCCATGCTGAAGACACACCCCAGGCACCTGAGGACTGCAGCTCCCATGCTGCTTGCAGGTGAAACTGAAAATAGGCAAAGACAATAACAAGGGTGCAATCTAGTTGCCCTACGTTACCAGTTGCAGTAACTTAGGTAAACTTCCTGCACCTAATTATCATGCTGCACAATGATTATATATATAATTAAATCTGATCATTAACTGTTTTGTTTGATAATAACTGTGCACTCTGGAAGGTATAGTCTTGCTCAAGCAACAGGACCTTTTGTTTCTCTTACAAATACGAAAGGGGGAGGGGAGGGAAGGCCGGTGGCCACAGATGCCTCCTCATCAGCACTCTGTGCCAGTCTCCCTTCAGGCACACCTTCCTGCCACCTTCTTCAACTTCAGTCCTGCCCCAGAGGCCCTAATACCCTCCTCTCAGCTCAAAGGAGGCCCAGCTCTGGCCCCAGGGGCAGGGCACAGCTGTCTGTTTCAGGGCTGGAGCTCCAGAGCCGGGAAAATAACAAGTTCTCAACAAACACTTGTTAAATTAAAAATCCAAAGATGGGGTGCCTGGCTGGCTCAGGCGGAAGAGCATGCGACTCTTCATAAATTCAAGCCCCATGCTGAGTGTACAGATTAGGTGCATACATAAAAACTTATTTAAAAAAATCCGAAGGAAAGAAGGCAGGCAGGCAATTATCTCATGCATCCTGTCAACATGGCACCTGTGGACAACAAAAGTAATCTGGTGACTACTTCAATAGTTTTTCTAAATTCAAAACATGATTTAACAAGTGAGTTGTTTTTTTTAATGTTTTTTATTTATTTCTAGGAGAGAGAGAGAGAGCGTGAGCAGGGGAGGGTCAGAGAGAGAGGGAATCACAGAATGAAACAGGCTCCAGGCTCTGAGCTGGCGGCACAGAGCCCGACGCGGGGCTTGAACCCACGAACCGCGAGATCATGACCTAAGCGAAAGTCGGACGCTTAACCGACTAAGCCACCTAGGCACCCCATTAACAAGTGGGTTTTGAAGGAGAGCTAGGTACTGGCCTACTCCACTCAGAAGCAAGAATACAGAGTCCTTAATGTGGACATCTGCACAGATGAGGAGAAGGTTCTGAGAAAGGCTCAATTAGCACCTTCAATCCACACAAGCAAGGGCCAGGGAAGGCAGCCTGTGTCCATCGTGTGACCTGGTCACTGTTCCTCAAAGGAGGGGCTGTGTAGTGCAGCATTCAGAGGCCACCTTGCAATGTCAGAAACAGAACTCACTTCATTCTCTGAAAAGCTATGTGTCCAAATTTGGTCTGACTGGCCTCTATGCTTGAATTCATTTTTCTTTGTAGGAACCCCTGGAATCCCTAGAAAATCAAGAGGTCAAATCATAAATGTAGAACCTTTCTAGACTTCACCTCTCATTATCGAGAAGCTGCCTAACTCCACCAGGAAAAAACAACAACAACAACAACAAAAAAGATCCCAAAAGATTAACAGTAATCTGGACCAAAATGATACATAGCCATACTATGACGTTAGAAGAAAGTCACACAGCCTAACAATACAGGGTCGGACTGCTCAAACAATAGCAAACAATAGAATCCTGGCACAGCTGGGACAAGTTGATAGGCTACAACCACTATGGAAAAGTCTACATAAACTTGTTTTAAATAAAGGACTTAAAACGCTGACTACCAACTATGTGCAAAAGTAAGTTTAAAAAAAAAGTACGTAAGTATACTGACAATAACAGGAAGGGAAGGGAATTTAAAAGAGAATAAAACAATAAATTATATTAAAAAAAGAAAATACATAGGTCAACATACCAGTTCCAATAAACAAACAGAGTATAAAACTTGTTACTTGACATTTTGGCATGGCTACTTCTTTATATAAAAAGTAGCCGAATTCTCTGGAAAAGGGGGAAGAAAGGCAGGGGAGAGAGGAAGAGGGAGAGGGAGAAAGAGGGAGGAACTGGACCAAGCAAACCGGCTAAGGTAAGATCCCACACTACACTAGTCCACAGGAAGTCACGTGGGCCATTACTTTGCTCTTACAAATTTCAGAAAGGTCCACCTGCACTCTGTGTTCTAATTCCAAAAAACTGTGACCCTCTGTTTATAAAATCTACCTCCATACCTGCTGTACTACCTGTTCACCTGAACGATAATAGGTTTTCACCCCCATATCAGGTCTGATAGAAGCAGCAACAACGTCCCTATCGCCAATGTTCCTTCCAGCAAAGGAAGTTCCTGTGGACCTGCCCAGGAGATCCAGAACAATCAATTCAAGGCCTTTGCTCCTGGTAAATTGCAGGCTCAAGGCACTAGGGCTTCTGAAAGAACAAATGTGTTCAGAGATGTTAAATCCTCTTCCATGGACACACATCCTGCAAACCTCAGAAAGTCAGTTAGCTTAGTGCAATGCTGCCAGACAGGACTACATTATCACTCATTCCCCATTTGGTGATTCAAAAAGGCACAATAAAGACCTAATCTATAACAATTATTTCCCATTTTGATTCTTCTTTGCCCTGGAAAGCCAAGGAAGAAAGGAGCAGATTGCTGAGCTTGGCCAGAACTAGAGAGCAAGGTAGGGGAACGGGGAAGAAAACGCATTGCAACCAGCACCCTGGAATTAGAACAATACTCCCACCTGATTCTGGAATTGACAGTGACCAGCTACCAGCTACAGATGCCCACAACATGAGCTAGTATAGTTATTCCCATTCGTGGAGAGGAAACAGCCACAGGGAAAATGGAAGTGGCTGCTCAGACATCTGTATTGGGTGGGCCACAGATCCACTCCTCCCTGCTAAACAGCTTGTGGATGGGCACTTGCTTACCAGAAGGCTGTTCCCAGCTCAGAGTTTACTCCTGTACAGAACCGGCATCATATTAATAAGAAGTGATTATTCTTCGGCTTTGCCAAGTGCTGTCATCTTGTTTCCCAGTTAAACCAGAAGCTTCCTACAAGACAGTTCATCAGAACTCCCTTAGACACAGTTTCTGAGAGTCCAATGCCATGTTCCAAATCACTTAGAACTCACCCTGGGAAGTCTCCAACTTGAACCGCAACTGTTACAGATGCACAAATGGAACGCCTACTGAGAAAGCTAGCTAAATGAGTGTGGGACAAGAAAATACTGGTTAAATTCTAAAATACCAAGAGCACCTGGCTGGCTCAGTCAGAAAAGCATGCAAGTCCTGACACTTAAGAGTCCTGAGTTTGATGGAAAGAGCCTAAGTGTCCATCAACAGATGAATGGATCAAGAAGATGTGGTTTATCTATACCATGGAGTACTACATGGCAATGAGAAACAATGAAATCTGGCCATGTGTAGCAACATGGATGGACCTTGAGGGTGTTATGCTGAGCGAAATAAGTCAGGCAGAGAAGGACAAATATCAAATGTTTGCACGTATAGGAGGATTAGGAGGAACTTGACGGAGGAACAAGGGGGAGAAGAAGGGCGGAAATGGTGGGGGAAAGGGAGAGAGGCAAACCATGAGAGACTCTTGAATGCTGACAAAAACTGAGGACTGATCGATGTGGGGGGGAGGGGGGGATGGGCATGGAGGAAGGCACTTTGGGGATGAGCACTGAGTGTTATGTAGAAACTAATTTGACAATAAACTATGTGTAAAAAAAAAAAAAAAAAAAAAAAGTCCTGAGTTTGAGCCCTACATTGGGTGTAGAGATTACTAAAAGTAAATAAATTAAATACCAAATAAGAAAAATTTTAATTAGAAAAAAATTTTAATTGGGTATTATGCCTCTAACTGGTATGAAATCTGGTTTTATCTTTCTTCACCTTGCCCTCCCTCTCTTCCTCTTTCACTTCCTCTCTCTCTCTCTCAGGGTCTGCACTTTCTAACTAATGACTTGTTACATTTCCCATGCCTCTAGCTGACCAAGGCCATTCTGACCCCTTAAGGCCCAATTAGATTAGCTTCTGCATTTATCTGGCTGTGTAATGTTTTCTCTGCTGCACCCTCCCTAGGCTCCAGAAAGCCCAGTCTCCCCTGTAGTCCCTGCCCTCAGATGCTCTCTCTACATCAGAGCTGGGCACTGGCTCCCTGCCCAGCTCCAACGCCTCCAAATAGGCCCAGTTCCACATCTATCCTCCCCTTGCCCAGGGAGGCTTGCTCCTAAACCCATGTGCCTTTAAGGGCAGGCACTACATTGGACTCTGGTTACTTTTCTTAGCCAGCACTGGAAGCACTGAGGACTCTAGTTTCTTTTGTCCAAAGGTCTACCTCTGGTCAGTGGTGCAGCTTCTTTTCCGTAGCCCATGGTTGTGTGTGTGTGTGTGTGTGTGTGTGTGTGTGTGTGTGTGTGTCTTCCACTCTTTGGTTTCAATAAATATGTTTCAATTGTATGCATCCTTGTCTATGATCTCACCTCACCCACTTATGTTTTGAGATTTAGGAGGGTCACAGTTCAAAAATAATGTTTCTCAGAGAAACCATGTACATTATATGCCCCATAAATGTTTTTTAGATAAACACAGAATACAAGAATCCCAGACTCTCGGGGCGCCTGGGTGGCTTAGTCGGTTAATCGTCTGACTTTCACTTAGGTCATGATCTCGCGGTTCGTGGTTTCGAGCCCCGCGTCGGGCTCTGTGCTGACAGCCAGCTCAGAGCCTGGAGCCTGTTTCAGATTCTGTGTCTCCCTCTCTCTCTGAACCCCGCCCCCCGCTCACGCTGTCTCTCTCTCTCTCTCCCAGAAATAAAATAAAACATTAAAAAAATTAAAAAAAAAAAAAAAAAAGAATCCCAGACTCTCTTTCCTGGATTATAGGATCTGTTCCTTCTTTATATGCCCTAAAGACTTTTCACATTTAAGTGAGAGAATACCTGTTTCCATCTAACAGTACCATAATCAGGGGCACCTGAGTGGCTCAGTCAGTTAAGCCTCTTTGGTTTATGTCATGATCTCATGATTCCTGGGCTTGAGTTCTGTGCCGGGCTCTGTTCTGACGGCTCAGAGCCTGGAGCCTGCTTTGGATTCTGTGTCTCCCTCTCTCTCTGTCCCTGACCTCTTTCCTCCTGGCCCCCCCACTTTCTCAAAAGTAAATAAACATTAAAAATGTTTTTAAATACCATAAGCGGGCCAATTCTTTTTTTTTTTTTGAAAGAGAGAGGGAGTGTGCGCAAGTAGGGGGGGGAGGGAGGGAGGGAGGGAGAGAGATAGAGAGAGAGAGAGAGAGAATATCCCAAGCAGACTCTGTGTTGTCAGTGTGGAGCCCTATGGGAGGCTCGATCCTACAAACTGGAAGATCAATGAACAGAGCGGAAATCAAGAGTCACACACTTAACCCACTGGGCCACCCAGGCTCCACAGGCCAATTCTCAGTGGCCCCACATAGTCCCATCAGGCCTCAGAAGATATAAATAAACTGGTTGTTTACCCAAAAGTTCTTTCATGGAAAAAAAATGTTTTCTTTTTTTTTTTTTAATTTTTTTTTTAATGTTTTATTTATTTCTAGGAGAGAGAGAGAGACAGCGTGAGCAGGGGAGGGCCAGAGAGAGAGGGTGTCACAGACTGAAACAGGCTCCAGGCTCAGAGCTGGCAGTCAGCACAGAGCCCGATGCGGGGCTCGAACCCACGAACCGCGAGATCATGACCTAAGCGAAAGTCGGACGCTTAACCGACTAAGCCACCCAGGCGCCCCATTTTTCTGAATACATGTCTACATAAAAAGTAAATTCTAACATCCTACTTATAAACCCTATATATGACCTAGGAACAAAGAACCGTAGAGCTACTCTACGGGGAAGAAACCAGGCGCAGGAAGGCAAATCTCTTCAGAGCCTCCAAATCTATCTCTACATTTTTCACCTGTAGGAATGAATACCTGCCAGTGTTCCATACCACAAGGGTATCTGGAGGATCAAATAAGATAATGAATGTGAAACAACTTCCTAACAAATGTTATATTATACAAATGTTACAAAAGGAATTGAGAAGGACTCGGAACTGTTTACTAACTGGCCTGTGCTGAGACACCCCCAGTGAGGTGTTCAAACCTTACTAGGACACCAGGAACCTCTCACCAGGGGAAAGCAGCCCTGTTCCTGGAGGTGGTGTGGAGATTTTCTTTTCCTTAGCACTGTTTGAAATCCAGCATTAATAAGAAGTAAACCCCTCACCAAGTGCCAGTTTTGCATGTCACTCAGGAAATGGACATGCAGAGGAAGTGCCATTTGCCTTAGGTAAACAGCCACCTGACTGGCTCTGCTTTGCTTCCAGACCTTGGAGAGGCTAGAATCTAGAGGGGACAGGAGTCTGATGCTCATGGACCTGTCAGTTCACTGAGGCCACTTATGGACTTCTGCCAACTGCTGATTACTGCTATAGACTCAGCTCACCTCTGAGAATGGGAAGGCACCTAGGGGCTTGCACAAAGGGCATGGTCTTTAGAACTATAAAGATTTGATTAGTAGCTGCATGGCTGTAGGTGACTCATAACTTCTAGAAAGCAGTCTCCTCATTGCATCAATAGGGTAACTCTGCCCCACATTTTTAAGTGGGTTTTAAGGACTAAATGAGCTAATATGTGTATAAAGGTTTCATGAGGGGCTCCTGGGTGGCTCAGTCAGTTAAGTGTCTGACTTTGGCTCAGGTCATGATCTTGCTATTTTGAGTTCAAGCCCCACAACAAGCTCTCTGCTGCCAGTGCAGAGCCTGCTTTGGATTCTGTCTCCCTCTCTCTCTGACCGTCTCCTGTTGGCACGCACATGTGCCTCTCTCTCAAAAATAAGTATTAAGAAAAATTTTTTTGAAAAAAAAAAAATGTTTCATAAAATGTAATGCTGCCTCAAATGTTGATGACTGCTTACCGAGTAAGCTATTGGAGAAAATAAGCAGCTGTTGATTCTGAAACACTGAGGAAGATGAAAAATCCAGTGAATCCACAGATAATTCTGAGTAGGTCACAACGGAGGACCTCCTCAGTCAGAGTCAGGAAATGGGAATACCTGTTCTTTCCAAAGAGAGACATGTGACCACTGCAGCTAGAAAACCCTCATTGCAGATGCTGGCTGAGCCAGATGCTGGAAGCAGTGGGTTGAATCAGCACTAAACCAACAAGGCATCTGATAAGAGGGCCTCCCAAAAACTCCGAGGAAACCGGATCATCCAGGTCAACAGCTTCTGAGTTTATACAATAAATGGCCTGAGGTCTCTTATGAACTCTGGCGCCGCTACTCCTCAGGAAATCTTATACACAACCTTCATCCTTTTCATTTAAATCACTGGGTGAATTCAATCCCACAGATCATGGAGTGGATGACTATTAATTAACCTCTTGATAAAGAGCGAGTTTCAGACAAGGAATCCTGGAAAAGTAGAGACTCCAGGGACACAAAAGTCTTACATCAGATTTACTAAACACACATTTGCACATCTGGATGGACAATAAACAACCAGAATGCAATACAACTACTAACTTAGTAAACCCAACAATTGACATCACTCAGAAGTCCAAGACGGCTCCGGCAGGCTTTCTTTTTACTGAGGACAGGGGTGTGCTCATCACTAGCACGTCCAAATACAAGAGAGCAAGCATTCAAAGCAGACACCAGGGATGACACCCGAAACATTGAAGAGAGCTCAGAGTAGGGGCCAGGAGTCTAGTGGTGATGCTGCCAAGTCCTGGTAAAGAGAGGTCCTACTACAAATGAAATAAATTAAGACCTGCCCCTTTCTGAGTGTTATCTCACCTCATATGAGAAGACATGGTCTTAGGGCTGAGAAGATGAAGACTCTTTCCCATGAGAGGCATCTGCGGTGGGAGCTGATGCCCTGACTGAATTCCTGAAATTGTTAAGACCACATTTTCTAAGAATAAAGCCTAAGCACCAGACATCCTGTAAGGGCTGGTGTTAACAGAGGAAATACTGACATGACCATGGGTCACCCTAGGACCATCAAGTGAAAATGATTCAAATTTAGAATCTGCACAATCTGAAAGCATGTGCCCTGTAGCTTAAGTAGAGTCATCATATTCCCTTTCACTCCGGTGCGACAGTTGTCACATGTGGCTTCAGCCTCTCTCGTGGATGAGGACTGTAAGTAGCATTTGGGGGTGGAGGGAGAGAGTGGCTGATCAGGATGCATCTGCTGAATCTTCCTTCTGGAAACCTAGAAGTGCTATTAGCTTCCAGGTGCTTTCCTTTCTAAAACAGACTCAATAGAGCCTCAACAGCACCTCTGCAAGGACAGAAGGTTCTTAAGTTCACCCTGGGAGGCTGATACAGAGAAAGCACCAGACTGAAGTCTAAGAGACCTGGCTAAGTCACTTTCAAGCAGAGTCCCATTGACCATGAAGAAATGAAGATTGAGAGATTTAAGTAAGTGTCCAACGTCACTTACAAAGTTAATAGTGGAGTTGGGGCCAAGCCTGAGTCCTTCTGAATTGAATGTAAGGTCATTCCTCCTGTGTCCCAGCTAACACGCATGTGAAATCAGTATGATGTCACCACAGACTACTAACAACATGGAAAATAGGCTGTACTACACTGCATTTATGTGTTCAGTGAATGGGTTTTCTAAACCACTGATTATCCTGTGTTGTTGTTGTTGTTGTTGTTTTAAGTATGAAACATTAGCTCAATCCTATGATTTCTGAGAAGTAAATGTCCAGGCTCCCACTGGAAGCTTCAGAAGCTGCTGCTGCCCATCCCACAACACTCACCTTGGCTCACTCAGATTACAGGCAACCTGAGAAGACTGTTCCCTGGTGAGCCCTGCTTTTGTTGACCAGCAGGTCAGGACAAGGCAGCCAAGACAGCTGGTCCCAGAGGGGAGGATGGCATCCCGACCCCCCAGGGCATGGAGGGAACCAGCCAGACCTGCCAGGCCTTGTGGACAATGAAGCCAGGGGCTCACGGCATCCCTATACCAAGAAGAGGTCACAGTAGGCTCTTTACATCTCTATAGCACCCATCGTCATAGTAACTACAGAAAAATAGAAGATCCAGTTTCAAGAATCTAACTATGTCCTCCATGTGTTGAGTGTTTAAAATCTATTTGGTCCCAGGGCATCTGGATGGCTCAGTCAGTTAAGGTTCTGACTTCAGATCAGGTCATGATCTCACTGCTGGTGAGTTTGAGCCCCACATCGGGCTCTGTACTGACAGCTCAGAGCCTGGAGCCTGCTTCGATTTCCATGTCTCCCTCTTTCTCTGCCCCTCCCCTGCTCACACTCTGTCTCTCTCTCTCAAAAATAAATAAACCATAAAAAAATTTTTTTTTAAATCTATTTGGTCCCATCTTTGTCTACTGAAAATATAGGTCTACTTGGGAAAAGTAGTGCAATGTGTAGAACCATGTCACCATAAACTTCATATAAGATTAGCAACTCCACAGGCCAAAGTATTGATCAATCTAACAAGGTGGCTCCTATAATCTCACTTTGGACCTATAAGGGATCTTAACATGTTTCCACAGGCCTACAGAGTCAGGTATTATTCCCAGGCTTTTTCACAATGACTGCCTAGATTCTGACAGCAGGGGAAGGGGTGCGTGGATGGAGTGGGGGGCAAGGAAACAAGCCCAGACTCAGAACTGCTAACTCCAAGAGGCTGGCTCCATCCTACAACAGCTTACATCTATGGCAGCAGGGGCTCCGGCAACAGCAGCTACTAGGACTTTCCCAGAGGAAGAAGTTCAGCTTTCCCAGCAGGCCCTACCTCCACTGATAAAGGGGTCAGAGGCATAGTCAGCCTGCTGCTGCCTCCCTGTATTAGTGAACGAGGCAACAACAGCTCCTTGGAATGGAGGCTCTCCATTATTTTTCTCTCTCGGTATATCTAGTCTGATTTGTATATGAATGGCGAAGTCCCCTAAGAGTAGCCAGGGACCAGAGATGAAGAAAACATGTTGTAAGCAATGTGAAATTACTGGCAGTTAGCCTTCTCCTCTACCCTAAAAGTCTCTCAGAATAAGAGCCAATTTACAGGCATAATCCTTAAAAGGTAAAACATTCATAACAAATAACTTCCAGCACCCCTCAAAACCATGCTACTTTTGGGGCACCGGGGTGGCTCAGTCAGTTGAGTGTCCAACTTTGGCTCAGGTCCGGATCTCACAGTTCGTGAGTTCAAGCCCCACATCGTTATCTATGCTGACAGCTCAGAGCCTGGAGCCTGCTTCAGATTCTGTGTCTCCCTCTCTCTCTCTGCTCCTCCCCTACTCACCCTCTCTCTCTCTCTCTCAAAAATAAACATAAAAAAATCTTTTTTTAAACCATGCTATCTTTTTTTCATTTGTAAATGTTTATTATTTATCTTTGAGAGAGAGACACAGCACAAGCAAGGGAGGGGCAGAGAAAGAGGGAGACAGAATCCAAAGCAGGCTTCAGGCTCTAAGCTGTCAGCACAGAGCTCAATGTGGGGCTCGAACTCACAAACCATGGAGATCACAACCTGAGCAGCAGTTGGACGCTTAACTGACTGTGCCCCAAAGCCATGCTTTTTTAAAAGGCAGAATAAAATAAAGTGCTATAGTGTATTACTTAGCAAAATGCCCTTAAGCCCTTTCTAGATATTCCAGCACTTCAAGGAAGGCTTTTAGCATAGAGGGAAAAAAGTAACAGATCATCACGCATTACTCTGCCTGATCTGTGAAATTTCTACAACCGTTTGGTTTCCTTTCCTCACTAGAATGAAGTTCCCAGGACATGACCTCCCCATTCAACAGTTGTGGCAGTAACTCATTGTCTGTATAAATGCCATATGTGCCTATTAATTCTTTTCTTTTTATTCAAGTATAGTTGACATACAATATTGTATTAGTTTCAGGTACAACACAAGAATTTGACATTTATATACATTATAAAGTGATCACCTTGTTAAGTACAGTCATCATACAAAGTTTTAACAGTGTTACTGACTAGAATTCCTAAACTGTACCGTACATTCCTATGACCTGAAATGTGTACCTCTTAATCCCCTTCAACTATCTCATCTATCCTCTCTCCCTCTTCCCTCTGACAATCACCAGTTTGTTCTCTGTATTTACAAGCCTGTTTCTGTTTTATTAGTTTTGTTTTCAAATTCTAAATGTAAGTGAAATCAGATGTCATTTGTCTTTCTCTGCCTGATTTACTTCACTTAGGATAATACCCTCTGGGTCCATTCATGTTGATACTGTTTAGACACAAATCTAAGTATCTGTATTTCAGTATATATCCTATGACATGGAGACTGAATGCCTCCACCTGAAAGTTTCTGTACAATGGGTTCAACACATCTAATAGACATATCCACACAAGTCCTTTCTGCACAGCACAATGCTAATATGCTGACACAACACAGAAGGAGGTGAGGTAATGGTGGAATTGCACGATCTCCAGAGTCAACCTGTGACAGGCACCTAATAAACGTTACCTGAACTGAACTCAGCCAAGAAAGAATACACTGGCCACACAAGCCAAAAGGCAGAGCAGGGACGTGGTTAAGGCACAGGCGCAGAGCACCTGAGTGGCTTAATTAAGCATCAGACTTCAAATCAGGTCATGATCTCAGGGCTTGAGGGTTCAAGCCCCAAGTCGGGCTCTGTGCGGACAGCTCATAGCCTGAAGCTTGCTTCACAGTCTTTGTCTCCCTTCCTCTTTGCCCCTCCCCACCCACACTCTATCTCTCAAAAATTAATAAACGTTTAAAAAACATTTTTTTAAAGGCACAGGCTCTAGTCAGGCACAACTGAGAGCAAACCCTGATTCTAGCACATGCCAGCTGGGTGGCCTTGGACCGGCTGCTTAACTTCCTGGAGGGTCAGTTTCTACATCTAATAGTAGTAACAACTCTGCAAAGTATGTAATGAGAATTAAATGAGACAAATTACTCATAGAACTGCGACGTGTTATATAGTATTGATTACCAAACTGAAGAAAGTGTCATTTAAACTTTGAAGTTAACAAACGTTCCCACATACTTTTAGACAAGAAATAGAAATACCCCCATCTCTACAGTGCAACCCTTACAGGCAACATCAAATACGTACTGGGGTCACAGATTCTGAGTTGAAGGCTCAATGTGAAGAACCTCTGTTTCCATTCTGACCACACCAGATATGAAGAAAGGAACAGAGGGGCGCCTGGGTGGCTTAGTCGGTTAAGCATCCGACTTTTGCTTAGGTCATGATCTTGCGGTTCGTGGGTTCGAGCCCCGCGTCGGGCTCTGGGCTGACTGCCAGCTCAGAGCCTGGAGCCTGTTTCAGTCTGTGACTCCCTCTCTCTCTGACCCTCCCCTGCTCACGCTGTCTCTCTCCTGGAAATAAAAAAAAA